TACTGAGTTTAGAATTTTTCCAGTTTTTCTCGTTTGTGCATTTGCGATGGTTTTAACTCTTATCTGGTGGGAACTGATTATTGTTGGACAGCTTACCTATGCATAGAATTTAAGGTTTCTTAGACTTTTGCTTGTCATCTTAAGTGTTGTAAAATTTGACAGATGTTTCTCTTTAGGAGTTCGAGGGTCGTGTTTTAAGGCTCAATTTTGCCAAACACAGAAGGAAGAAACCTGCAACAAGTGTGTCACCAAAGCCTGCAATAGCATTCAACCTGTTTGTGGCAAATCTTTCATATGAAGCCAGAGCTAAACATCTCAGAGAGTTCTTCAGTTCTGAGGGTGCCAATGTTGTTTCTGCTGAAGTTATATTTCATGATAATCCAAGAAAGTCATCTGGGTATGGATTTGTCTCATTCAAATCGAAGAAAGAAGCTGAAGCTGCACTGTCTGCTTTTCAGGGGAAGGTGCTAGTTCCTCACTTAGTAAATTGTGTTGCTGCTGCTTTATTTGAATTGGTGATTTATGGGATGGGACGTGGGCATTTCATGATCTGCATTTTATTTTTTTAAATAACTCTATAAGCTGTCATGCAGGTTTTTATGGGAAGACCAATTCGGGTGGCACGTGGTAGACAGTTTGTGAAAGCACAGTCAGAAGAGGGTTCAAAGTCTGATGACAAATCAATAGAGTTGAACTCTGGTAGTGAACCAGTAGACACAAGTGATGAAGTTTGAAGCTGGATGTGCATGGGGCTGAGATTTCATCATTTTCTTCTGTTTGTTGTCTTGTTGGTAAGCCTTTTAAAGTCAATTGTTTCAACATCAGTAATAATGCTGTTACTGATACACACATGTTTCATCCATTACTACTTTTTGACATATTCCCTTTTGTTGGTCAATTCTGACGAGCATTAGAGCAGCAATCACCTTGCATTTATGCGATACTGTGAAAAAACTGAAACAACTTCAATTAAGAAGCATTTCCTAAATGGCATCTAATTGACTTGATGGTGATAATCCTGCAAAGATGTCCATGAATGGCCCAAATGTTGGTTTAAAAAAGACCCTGAGGACATTTTGCTTTTGCATTCTTCATACCAGATTATATTGATTCTTAACTTGATTATTGTTATGATGCTTCTGGATTTTTAAGTCATATCCCCTTGATTATGCCTAAGGATATATATCGCCGTTCAAACTATAGATTTGTAAAGTTTGTTGACTAAAAAGTTGGTCTGTGAAATTTCTTTTGTAGTCTATCACCAGATTCAACCATGGCTTCATAAAAGTAGAATTGAAGCGTTGGGGTCTGTAACGTGTGTTTTGGCCTAAAAGGAAATCTATCCTATGAAAGATTTTTATAAATCTGTTGCTACTATTGATTCTATAGGGCTTAGTTCAAGTCTCTAAGAATTTTGTGTCTTCATAGATTTAATCCCCTGCTGTTGAAATACTGGCAATGAAGAGAAATGGATGACATGAAGATTATGGATTTTTCAGTAGTTATTGTTTTTGTTGGCCACAACCACTAGTTAGCATCAGCTTGTAGTACATTAGTCTCAGATTCTACACTCTGAAACAATAATCTCCCTCTTCTCTAAATCTCTCAGTGCATTAGGACATATATTTCCCCCTGCTGAGACACAATATGGTAATGCTAGCCTATTAGGCTCAATTTTTCTGTCAACTCAGTTAATTGCATCAGCAAATTTTTAGATTCCAGAGATGACTTCTATTGTTGGCTCTGAAACTTGAGGGGGAAAAATGGACCTTGCTGTTGTTTGTCAAGTGAAATGCTTCAACTCATAATATCTGGAAAGAACCGAATCATCACTCTTCTGAGATGACATTTGAATTGAAAGCTTTAAGATTATGAAAATATTTGATTTTTGTTTGTGTTAGAACCTGCATGTGATATACAACTCTAGAATAATTCGTGGTGAATGCCAGTCTTACATTGTACTGAAGTGACAATTACCCAACCAGGAAAAATGACTTCTAAGAGTCACTCGCCTACTATCTTTATTACTTCATACAGCTACAAGGTGAATGTACTTATCCGATGAAATGAGAATCGTTTACTTTTGAAATTTTTACTGGGGTTTGTGAGTTTATCCCATTCTGGTGGTGATTGGCCCCCAGCCACCTACCACGGCTGAGCGAGAGAGGTCCCATTTAAGGCATAAGAAAAAGGAGAAAAGGGGGTGTGTGCTTGTAAGGGATTCCCACAAAAAGGTGCGGTTGCCTCTTGCCTGGTTGTGGGACCTTGAAAGGCTGGTGCTACGCATAACAACAGCCTATTGTAGGCTACGTTTCTCCCCTTTGAGTAGTCGGCCTTAATCCAATAGACACCACCAGCTGTCCAACATAACAAACCCTAGATTTACCGAGCCCACCGCCATAGGTGCACACCTTTTGGCTTCTTCCGATGTCCTGCATGCTTTATTTGAGCAATCATGCAACCTTTTTCTTCATGACCCCAGTTAGAATGATGCACATGGTGACTCTTGCCCGTGGTTAGGTGGGAAGTTGATATCAAATTTTCATTGTCCCCACCCTTCTCCTAACCTGTTTCGTAGAGAAATCTCTAAAAAATTCCTGTAATCAGTAAAATGTAATTACAATTGTGTGATTTTCTGACCAAAGCATTTTAATTGATTAATATTTATCCTTTTGAGGATCAAACAATTTTGTTTCCTTCATTCAATTCATGTTCTGTTTCTGTGAGCAGATAATTTCTTGAGAATCTTATTCAGGTGTGAATTATTTTCCTTTAACCAGACGGGTTATGCTTCACTTGTATTCAAAAATTTCTGCTCATGACTTTGCACAGACTCAACATTTTGATCTGATTTCTTTTGTTTTGAATGAGTCAGTATTTTGATTTTCTCCTCAAATTTCTCTCATTATCAACTTCAATACCAAAAGACTAAAATATGAAAATTTTAGATTTTGAGGGTTGGTCGTTATAGTTTCCTTTCCTGCCTTTTGGGTGTTTGTTGGATCATGAAATTTTGAATTGTATCCACAGAGATTCAATCTCCTTATCATGGCCAATGGAGTAGCCCTCAAGTTAGTTGCATTTTCAACCCCTTTGTTTTCATAGAACCCCATTATGATGATTAAGACCTCCATTTATTATCAAAAAAGCAAAAGCCTCTTTTTGCATTCTACATATTATTTTTTTCACAATCAATATTTTAAAGAATTTTAATTTTCTATCAACATTTTTTATAATTTGAAATATTTAAAAAACTCCGAAATTACTAATAAAGTTATACTGCAAATTGAGGGTTTCATCATTAATTTTTGAGTTTTTTTATGAATTTTAAATTACGAACAATATTGACTAATAATGAAAATTCTTGATGGTGTTGATTGCAAAACAAATAATGTATAAGATGCAAATATGGGGTATGACCTATGAACAAGACCCTCATCAAACTTTTCTCCAACAAAGACCAAAAACATGGCAAAAACACAACCAGAAATTATGAGAAGCTCCTGAACATTTTTCTTCATTCACAATACATAATTAGTTGCTAAAAAAATAAATATACTTTAAGAAATATATCTCAATTGAGTTTTAAATTTTAAATTAAATATTTCAAATTTAAATTTTAAGACAAAAATAAACTATCACACACACATATATATATATATAGATTCGTGTCTTATAGTCCACCTTGAAATCGATTGCAAGATCAGGACCATCAAAAAAGAAAGGAAGGTGGACCCAATATCAAGAACCCACCTCCTTTTATGGCCCTAATCTTATAGTCCACCGACTGTACGATAGTTTTTGCATATATATATATATATATGTATACATGTAGTTTTCCCTCTATCTTGAATTTCATAGTCTGAACTGGCTTCTTAAAAAGAACATTATAACCACCTAACACCCGTCGTTTCAAGATATGCTAATAAAGGACCCACAATCCCTTGCATTAGGTATGGAGTCTGACCTAAGTTATCCCTTTGAAACAGTTCAACTCTATAAGTTATGTCGAATTATGTGAACCGACCTTTTACTCACTCCAACCTCCTCTGTTACTATATAAACAACCCTCCATTTCCACAATCAAACCTGCAAAATCTATTCATCTCTCTCCTCTTCTTGATCATCTCCTCTGCTAAAACCCTCTGTTTATTACAAAAATGGCCGGATTAGGAGTCACCAGAGCTGGAATTGCTTGCGTTATGCTGGCCTTGTTCATGGCTATGCCAACCCTGGCCACTGTTTACACTGTTGGTGACACTTCTGGCTGGGCTACGGGTGTCGATTATAGCACCTGGACCAAAGGCAAGACCTTTGCAGTTGGTGATAGCCTCGGTGAGTTCCTTTCAGCTCTCACGAGATATTATCTGTTTTGGTTCATACTTGATTTGTTTTTAAGAATTGATACACGAATTCTATATACTAATCAAGATATGTTTCAAATTAATTTATGCACTTGTAAAATATTTGTTAGTGTTGGGGAGATCGATATCTAACCTACTAAAAGATATTGAATGACGCTCACATATTTTTACATCACATTGTAACTAAAAAATTAATTTAATAGTTACATGGTCTTAACATCATTCTTTTTTTTTTCACATTTCTTTGATTTAAAATTCTAATTTTTCTTCACACTCACAAGAGAACAACATAAAGAATTCCTTTTTTTCCCATTTTTTTTTCATTTTTTCCATTTTTATTGACAATTTTCCCACTCACAAGGCAACAACATACAATCCCCATCTTCAGGAGAGTTCATTTTTCCCCCTTTTTTTTTTTCTCTGACATACAAAATTTCCCTTTTTTGGGACTTACATAAGGGTTCGCGTACGTAAATTCTCACAAACTCTCACTTTTTGCTAAGCCCAATCCATTTTTTTCATTTCTCACTTTTTGGTAAGCCCAGTCTAGTTTTTCGTTTTTTTGCTTTGACATAGATAAATTTTACATAACATTAACTCTCACTTATTGGTGAGACATTATAACCAAAACACTAATTTAATAGTTATATAGGTTTTAACCTACTTAAACCACTATTTCTTTTTATATTTTTTTGTATGTGGGACTCCAATTCTTCTTTACACTCGACAACATACGCTTCAACAGTTAGATATATATTGATCCATGGACTTAACATGTTGATTTCCTCTTTTTTTAATTTAGTGTTCAATTATGGAGCCAGTTCGCATACGGTGGATGAAGTGAGTGCTAGTGACTACAACACGTGCACTGTGGGCAACTCAATCAGCACAGACCAAAGTGGTGCCACCACCATCCCTCTCAAGACTGCCGGAACCCATTACTTCATCTGTGGTGTGGTCGGGCACTGTGGGAATGGCATGAAGCTGGCGGTCACTGTGGCGGCAGCAGCCTCACCGTCGGGTAGCACTACACCTGCAAGTGGTGGCAACAGAACAGTGACCACTCCTACGACCAGTACTAGTACACCCACTACTACCATGGAAGCGTCCTTTTCTGGGGTTGTCTCCCCAGTAGTTGAGGGTTTGGTGATGACTGTGGTTGCATTCTTTATGTTGGTTGTGTCATAATAATAAGTAGGGACCAGGATAGAGGCAGTGCACACTTTTCACCGTTTTTCTTACGCCATGTTTGCTTGCTTTGTTTTCATAAATGAGTTACCTTTACTTGTTCTGCTTGTGTTATACTGATTAATCATGTAACTCTCATCTCTTTGCACACACATTCCACATGTGAAGTAAAGCAATATCCAACCCACCCAACCCACCAAACCCTCATTCAATGTTCTACAGAATCAAAAACTAACCTCTAACTGTCATGTGAATCAAATTAAAAGAATTTAGAATAACCTCTAAAGACATACCCAACACACAAATCAAAACTCAAAAGTAAAAACAACACGAATTTTTTATGAATCCGAAAAACCAAAACCTTGATCAATTTCGTCAACAAGCAAAAGTGAAAACAAAAAGAAAATGTGACAACGCATGGTGATTGAGAAGGGTTCATATCTGCTGAGTTGGGCTCAAGCCCACAAGATTACATTACATCAACGACCCAATTCTTTTAATTTTCCACAAACTTTCGACCTCTTTCAACAACACTTTCTTAAGCAAAAGTGGAAAAAGGTTGGTCCGAAAGGAACTGGTCGGTTACATCGTGCCAGCTAACCATCTAGATGTAATTATCAAAAGATTCAAAACCCAATTAAAAAAGGCAAAAATATTATAATTTTTCTTTAAAAAATATTTTTTATAAAATATATATTAAAAATATAATTTACTCTATAAAATTTATTAAAACATTTACAAAAAAATATAATTTTTCCTATAAAATTTAAAATTTTTAATATACAATCCAAATATAATATATGAATTCCTTTTCATTATATAATTTACTTATAAAACTTTATATTTAATATCATATTATATTTATTTAATAAATATCAAATCATAATAATAAATTTACAGTATTATAACTATTTAACATCATATCTATAAAGTTGCCTTAAAAAATATACTAAAAATAAAAAAGCCTATGTTACCTAACCTTCCTTGTTACACAGCCAGCGCACATGGCGTCGGCGGTAACAGCTGTCCCCACGTGACACTTTTTTATTATAGCGCTTTTTTTTTTTTACAGAAGCGAAACTTTTTAGTTTTTACTACAAAAATAAAAATCGGAAAAAAAAAGAAAAAAAAAAAAGAAAACAAGAGGCAATACTTATGAAGACTTTCCAGCTGTCCCTCTCCACACCTCACCACAATCTCTCAGAAAAAGACAACATTACCGCTCCCACTCACTCTCCGTGTCGCTTCCATCACTCTTACTTTACCTTTCTAAGAATGAATCATGATTTCGCTAATTAAGGATTAAATTTGTTTAATCCTTGTTAATGATGAAAAAAACATAGATAATTTACATGAGCATTTCAAATGGAGAATCGAATATAGAGATAAATCATGATAATAATTAACAGAGAAAGAATCCACAGTCGGGAGGAGGGACAAATAGTAATATAATGATCTGAGTCTAAGAAATCAAATCTCAATCGACACCATCAAAATACGAAATGAAATTCATCAACACCGTCAGAGCCTATGATGAAATTTAAAAGAAAAATAACAAACAAAAACCTACTAAACAGGGTAAGAATGCCTAAATCAAAAGCGATCTAGTTCAGATCTACAGCAATAAAGAGGCCGCCAAGGCAACTGATGCGATAGATCCAGCGATAGCGACTCTGTTCAAAGCGGCGGCGCTTTGGGGAGAAGTTGGAGAGGAAGTGGGAGGACTGACGATCCCGGAGGGAGGAGAAGGCGAAGGCGGTGATGGACCGGAGCTAGGAGCCGAGGGAGTAACCGCGGGAGGAGCCGGGGGAGAGCTAGCAGGAGAGGACGAGGGAATTGAGGCTGGAGCCTTGGCGGGGGCTGGTGGCGATACCTTGGGGGAAGGAGTTGGAGGAGTAGTCGGGGCAGTCGCTGGTACAGGAACTGCGGATTTGGGAGCCGAAGCAGGGGGAGAAGTCGTGGGAGACTTGCTCGGCGCCTGTCCAGGAGCCTGGCCAAGGGCGGCGCTGGCTACGATGGCGAAGAGCACGAGGTAGGCGAAAACTTTAGCCATTGCTTGAGAAAAGAGAGAGAGTGAGAGAGAGAAAGAAGAGACAGTAGAGAGCAACAGCCAGTTAAGGAAACGAGGTGAGAAATAGTGGGAATTTATATGGGGACGATTGGGTTGATTCGTGACAATTTCCATTTTCCTGTACCCCTCCATCTTCCCAAAGTTGGAGTGTGTGTACCTATTTTTCATTTAGATCCTACTGTATATACCTAGTTACAATTTAGTTCATTATTAATTTTATTATCTATCATGGTACTTTTTCCTTTTAATTAAGAGCTTGACTTAGCTATATATATATATATATATTTGTAAGAGTTTTGTTTGGGATTTTGAGAAGAGTCTGTATAAAAGAGTTTAATCATGGATTATGTAAAGTAATTATAAAAATTTTTAAGAATTGATAAAAAAAATTATCAAATTTGAAAACTTAACAACAAAGGATCTACTTTAAAATTACAAATATTTAGCTTCCACATCTATTAGCTCTTTAGAATGACATAAGTTGAAAGCAACGTTGGAAAAGCCAAAATCATTTTTAAAAACTTCATTTGGATTAGACTAAATGTTTTTTTTTTTTTAATGCTAAACCAAACTTGCACTAAATACATCAATTAACAAAGTTGGTATGTAAAATCTTTTAATAGTTGTAACAATAACATAAAATCAGCTTTTAGCTTTATTAAAGGAGAGAGTTAACCAAAGAAAAAAGAAATATATACTTCTTGTTGTATGACTAGCATTTTTAAAAAAATATATAAATGATCACCATTTTTACATCAAGTTATCTCTTAAAAATGTGTTTATAATTAAGACTTATAATTAGTGTATAATTAAAATAACTTATTTAAAATAATTATACTTTTTTAAAACAAATAACTATCCCTAATAATGTCGGAAAAATGTCAAGAGTCAAGACAAATAATTATACCTGCATGCATTAAAAAAAAAAAAAAATCCTGCAACACTCGTTAAGTTTTTGAGGTACTTAAGTTAACAATATTTTAGAAACCCTAGGGTGAAGAGTGAAATTATCACCGATCGCGTGGAGTACCAAAGGTTCCAACTCAGGAAATTGCTTGGCAGCGGTACACGAGGGGTGATGACCCACCGTAGGTGTGGAAATCCAAACCGTCAAACACGTCTTTAAACACGCGTCGAAATTAAGCATCCTAGATCAACGGCGTGCGATCATTGGGTTAATTTTTCTGCTGTAACAACTATTTTATTTAATTTTTTTA